AAACAGAGAAAGCAGATCATCTGTCAACCTGAGGAGCGTAATCAAGCTCAGTGGCAGAGAGCTCATAGATACAGGAGACTTCCATAATGGTAAAAAAAAAAAGATTCACATAATAATTAGAGTATTACCAATGCATTTATGCCCAGATTTAATACACACACACACACACACACACACACACACACACACACACACACACACACTCAAGCACAGCTCGTGATGGGGTGAGAACGGAGTGCTGAGGTGTTCATGTGCATCATCAAGGATTAGCCTCATTAAGCTCCTTTGTCCCTGTCTAGGTTTCGCCATTTCCTGTTTTCCCTCTCCATGAGAGTTCGCTCTGGACCAATCAATCATGCCATTCTCTGACCACTTAAAACCATCTAACTCCAATGGACAGAAGGAGATCACACACTCCATCAGTTCTCACATGGAGAGAATGCTCCTTTACCCCCCACAGTTATGCAGCTCATACACATGTAAATCCAGCAGGTGATGGAGTTTGTTACAGCAGAAGTGCAACCAAAGTTTTGTTAAGCATCTGAGAGTGTTTCCAGGATTAGGGTGCTATTTGTGTCCTAGATTTACAAATGTATTAATAAAATAAACATAAAAGACAAAAAAAAAACTCATTTTACTGCCCCATCCCACTATATTGCTTGTGAATTAATGTGTGAATCCATTTAACGTCTCTTGCTTTACTCTGTTACCTGAACACATTCGTCTCTATGAAATATTTGAAAGATTCCACAGGTCACATCGTCAGCAGGAAGTTGCATCATTTGAATATTGTGAAGATCATGAAAAGGAAGTTGTCTTGTTTTTTTATTTCGATAATATTGTGAAATTGACTGACTTTTGAAAGTGAAACCCTGCTAAACAAATTGTAGATTGAAAGTAAATTATTAATTCAAAAATAAAAGGAATTTTAAGTAAATTCTTAGAACATCCTTATGTAGTGTTATATCTCTTATGGGATACTAGTTACCTACATTTTGCGTATTTGTGTAAACTCTATTAGAAGAAATGTTTTTTAGAAGAAAAAAAAACGACTTTTGAATGGTTAATTGCATGATTCAATCTTGAAAAATTCTTTGAAATGTATAGTATTATTATTATCAGTAGTAGTAGTAGTCGTCATATACATATTAATATAAATAAACAACAGACCAGAACCAAGGCCACTTTTCCCATTATCATTTTTCTGTCACATCAAAAGACATCTGTCTATCTCTGTCAGTTGGCTCTCCTGCATGACCTTTCCTCAAGCTTTGTTGAAGGAGCCCAGTGAGTAAGATTGGCATTTCCCTAGAAATTAAAATATAGAAGAAGAGAAGATTGCTTTCTTGGAAATGCCACCATGTTTACTGGACCTAAATATCAGCCTTATATTTCCATCACAGAGGAAAGATGTGTTCCTCAGAGGCTACGGCAGCTTCTTGGATGTCTGGGCCCCTGGTGAATTCTGGACATTCCTTTCTTCCTCCTTGTCCCACTGACCATCTTTACAAAGGAAATAATTCTACATAACATTGAGGGAAGAAATGAAATAAAGAAACCGGGTTTTCCTGGTCAACTAAAGCTCATACTTCAATCAGTGTGACATTGACGGATTGAGCATACAAAAAAACCTTCAGGCCTTGCCAAAAAACTGTTGAGGAGAGAAAATTCTGGGTCTGGTTGGGTTCCGAATTGGACAACGCACACCCAAAAGCAACAACAGCAGCAGGCGCTATGCATGCACAAACTACAAGCGACTTGCTATCGTGACCTAGGGTAAATGAGTACTCACATTGCTGTAGTAAACACGGTGTGTGAAAATTAGTGTCTCCAGGACACATTAGTCAACAAGAAACTCAGTGTCTCATTCATCAATCTTTGAGTAAATTTGGGTCTAAAAATGTATGCCGTATTTACAAAAGGTTTGAGAACTTTGATTTTGTTCATATTTGCACATATTGATAAATGGCAATCACACACAGCTGATTTGTGTTTAGAGATGCCTACAAAACCCCATAAAAAGGCAAAGCTCACAGATCAGAAAGTGCAAAATGGTTACTAAACAGCCAAAAGAAGAAAAATTTCTCTGAGCCA